GCTACCCGATTACTATCTTTAAGTTGTTACCTAAAGCACACTAGTTCAATTATAAGTCGTACCTTATGCGTGCACTACCCGTCCCATACCTATGGTCCATGAGGCGTTGGACCTCTATTTTGAGTGGTTCTAGACTTTACTTAGGCTGCTAAGAAAATGTCAAAACTAGGCGACATACAAAACACATTCGACTTCACATACGTGAAATTAAAGGCTCAAATTAGCTTCCACAATTAAATAGCAAATGCACGCAAAACAGATTTTCATGTTAGGCAGTTCAAGATTAAGGAACTTAAATCCCTATAGACATGATTTCTACGTGATAGGCATCCAGGCATGCAAGCAGTTTTAGGAACCAGTGTTATTCATAGAAAGGATTGTATAGATTGTTACACTGATTATTGAGAAGGCGAATTCCTAGTTATTAGTCCTGCAGCTGTTGCGCCTAGGTGATTTATGATAACGAGAATAGAAACTCAGAATTACTCGTGCTTTTAATAACGGCCTAAGTGAGCGATGAACAATGTTAAAAGGGGTGTCATTACCAGTTATTAAGGCAAACAGTGGCATCCTGTAGGCAGGATTTCTAAGGATTAACACTTGGGACTTGATTTTGTTGTTAAACCTTATAGGCAGGTTTTCTAGGTGGACAATGTGATGCAATGGCAGATAAAGGGATTAGAGTCCTATAGGCATGATCTCTAGTGGACAGACTACAATAATGCAATTAGAGGGGAGTTCCAGGATATTTATTTCCTACGGGCAGGTTCTCTAATAACATATAGCAACAAAGATATTGAGGCATTTGAGCTCATGCTTTGCTAATAAACAAGTAGTGCAAGTGTGTGCTTTTCCTAATAGAATGCTTCTTACAGTGTGCATAGAGAAAGAATAACAAAAAAGCAAGTGCATCATTCAATCCTATAGACATGTTATCTATCCCTCGTATATTAGTATTAGAATCTACCCCATCCCCTTTTTACTACCACCCTAATCGTTTATACAAAGATATTATTACAAACCCAAATTAATAAGTAAAGTAGTAATATTCCATGACAATAGACAGGCCTATAGCAGGCCCTAAATAAAACAACTAAATACCCAGCCTTGAACACATGCTACGCCAAAATAAAAAATCCTCTTTGGAGAGGCGACAATAGTGAACAGCACCCCAATCCCGCCGGAATGGCCCCACACTTGTCGTCCGGTCACCAAAAACCACCGGACTAGATGCAAAAGAAGCGTCTCTCAAAGGCTCACACAACTATTCAAGAATCGGCCCAAGATCATATCCCAATCGCTATGAAACTTCAAAAAGGCGTCGAGGTCACTGTAACAAAAAATCGCCTGGGAACTTCAAAAATTCCCCAAGGCGATTCTGGGTCAAATAATGAAATTCCACTCCGAGAAGATTGTTCTCCATCACAAGGCGTACCTCCCTACCAAAAATCAGCCAGTTCCACCATGGAAATCGTCAGTAACGATCAACTGAAGAACTCCGGCGACACAGACATAACTGGAAATGGAGTTCCACCTGGTCAAAACGAAAATGCTTGGTACTAAAAGGCTCATATCGATGAGGAGAACAAACTAGAATCATCAATTTTATATGGGTATCAATCAACTGCCTCAATTTTGTAATCGTTGATCCCAAGCGGTTTAACTCCTCCAGGTGCTCGACAAAATGACACTCTCATTTCTGGGCCAAGTTGCACGCAACAACCAATTGCAAATGCTTCTACATCACATAAGGAGCATGTATGCAAGGTTTCAAGTAAATCTAACGCGGCAATGGATCACCAGGATCAAAGGCAAAGCTCAGAACCTTACCAGTTGACCGGACATGGTGCTCCAGTGAACCATTTGACTCCAAACCAATGCCAAATGACTCCTGCAGCTCAGGAGACTGTTTCACACCCTTCAAACATAATTCCCACCAAGCCAATCTTTACAAATATTCAAAAAGGTGTTCCTGCACAATTAAGTTCAGCAGGTGATCGACCAAATATCAAAGCTAATTCCACAGCTTGTTTGAGTGATCATGCTGGTCCTCAATCTACACAAGGTCCAAAGGAAAATGGTCGTCAATCAAATATTCAGGGACCAATCCAGAACAAGGGTCATCAAGTGCCCTCTTCTTCTTCTGAAATGCAGATGAATGCTAACGTTGATTCCACTACCTCTGATGTTCACAATGTAGAGGTTCCACTCTCTAAAGCCCCTACTGATGTTAATGAAGTTGCTAATATAGAAGTTTCATTGGCAATAAATCCAAATCATAAGGATCACACTGGCTCTCCAACTTCAACTGTTCAAGTGGTCGACAATGGCAATAAGTTACCCTCTGAAGTTCATCCTCATACCCAGGTACACCCTACCTCCCATCCCCATAACTGCATCAAAGTTTCTTCCAATTTTGAGAGGCCAAGACATCCCAAGAAAAACTTCAACCCCCCAGCTAAAAATGCAGAGATCCCTCCACCTACACAAGCCATCCCTCAAATAATTCCTGCTCCAAATATCATCTCCCAATCCACTAATACATACAACAAATCCAAAACACCAAATAATCCCTCTCCTCCTCCACCCCCTACAATTACCCACTCCTATGTCACAAGATTGAGGGCCAGACATGAGGTAGAGATTGCTCCAATTCAATTCACATCTCCAGTCATCACTACCAAGCAAGGAAAACCTGCTGTGATTTTAAAAAAAGAAGATTATATGGTCAAATTTGCTGATAGATACAAATTCACAATAGTGGATAAATTCCAACATACAATGCCAAGGATGGAAGTCATCGGGAAAAGTTTCATTGCACAAACTGAACTCAGGGGTGGGGTCAAAATAGCTTACTTCAATGCAAAGACAGTCTACATTGACCTTGATACTGAGTATGATCACTCTACAGTCTGGTCCAAACAACACATGTACATTCAAGGCCAAATTATGAGTAAAGAAGCATGGAACCCTATATTCAAGCCCAATGAAGACTCCCCTATTGTTCCCATTTGGATCATGATCCCAGAATTACCTTGGCATCTCTACTACATGGAGATACTCACCCCTCTGTTATCTCCAATAGAGAAAGCTCTTTTCCTGGACCTTGCCTCATTTCAGAAAACCAGGGGTAGTGTGGTGAAAGTAAAAATGCAAATTGACCTCACCAAGGAAAGGACAACCCATGTGTGGTTAGGATATGATGAAGACCAAGATGTTAATGGGGATGGCCAATGGCTTGAAGTCCAATATGACAACCTACCTTCATATTGTGCTCACTGTAGACATTTGGGCCACTATACTCAGGCTTGTCAGTTAAACTAAGGGAACTTGAAGCTCAGAAAAGAAAGGAAAATGAAGCAGCAGCAACAACATCTTCACAGGCCAACAATCAGCAAAAAGCCACAGAAAATGCAGAAACAAGCAGGCAAAACCAAATCAATAAACAGCAGGAAAAAACGAAGAACGGGGGGCAAGGCCAAAATGACAACACAAAGACAACAGAACACCAAAAGGAGAAACAACTCCAAAGTGATGACACTACAGCCCAAAAAGATGATTGGAAAACACAAAAGAGGAAGAATTTCAAAGGCAATTCTCAGACCAAGAAACAGCAGCAGGTGTACCTGCCAAAACATCAGGCAAATCAGTCTAATGGCACCTCTGATCAACAGGTTGTTAACAACAAGAGCTCTGGTATGACCCCTGTTACTCAGACTGATTTCCAAACTGTGAATGCAAATACAGTTTTGAAGGTTTTTGTTGCTCAAAATCATGTTCCCCAATCCCATTCTCCCCATGTTTCTATTCCTGATAAAGAAGTTCAAGGAAGGATGAAGAATTGTCAGGAGAAACTTATAGAAAATCAGGAAGGGGTACCATTAGGGGTGGGGATTCCTCATGTTCTACATGAGTGTGCGAGCGCACAAATGGCTGACCCTAGCTACCATTGATCCCAACTATAATTCTTACCATGCACAAATCTCATCTGAGGAAGCTGAACATTGTGAAATTATCAGCTCTGAAGATGACTTAACAGTTCAACAAGATGATCAGATAAGGAGGATACTGAAAGGAAAAGCTCATGTTTCTGAAGATTTCAACATATAGATTCCCAAACCCAAAAATAAACCTAGCCAAAAAAGGAGGAATCCTATGAGGAAACAAAGTTCAGGAATTAGCATCAATGAACCTCCTGACATCCACAACTCCTTCTCTCAAAGCCCCACTTCCCAACCAAGATGGTCCTCAAGTTAAGGATTTGCTGTTAAGTCACAGATGTATAAAGATCCTGTTCTCACTCAGCCCCTACTGAATCCCAATAAAGTCAGTGAAAATGGAGTCAGTGATACTGAGAAAATACCTGCTGCTGCTGAAGGATTGGAAGTCCCTCCTATTACAGTCAAGGTCCCTGAAAATCATCACAGTGGTTTAGAATCTGTGCTTGAGGAGTGTCCACTCAGCAGATATTTCCCTCAAGATGATGAGTATAGACCAATCAATTCAGAAGATAAGATGTCAAAGGAACCTGATGACGAAGTAGAGCTTAGTAACAAAGATGAGGAAGAGCAACATTGTGACCTCTTGGTAAAAGCTATCAATGGAGCCCCTACTCAGGAAACCAGAACATCCCAATAATCCACAACCGCATTTAAACCCTCCCTAAGAACCACCAAAAGTAAAGTTGCTAGAAGCAACAGTGTCCCACCAAACCATAAATCCCCCTCCCACTCTTAATGATTAGTACATTCATTTGGAATGTAAGAGGCATTAGGACTTGTGGAGTCAATGATAGGCTCAAAATCCTAAAACAAAACCGTCAAATCTCTTTCATTGCTGTCTTAGAACCTTTCTCAGACAACTTCCACATCAACTTCTTCCAAAACCAGCTCTCCATGCACCAATTTGCCTCTAATATCAATGATAAAATTTGGGTGTTCTGGGATAAAGAATTCAATGCTAAAGTCTTAGATCATGATGAACAACAATTATCATTGGAAATGACACATGCTGAAAATGGAAAGATGTTCCACCTTACAGTCATCTCTGCTAAATGCAAACCTGTCCTCACAAGACCTCTTTGGGAATTTTTGAGGCAAAAATCATCCAGCTGTAATGTCCCATGGTGTGTCATAGGTCACTTCAGTGTCATTGCATCAGTAGAAGAAAAGATTGGTGGCATTCGATACCAAATGTCCAAGAGTATCGAATTTCTGAGCATGATTGAAGACTGTGGCCTTGTGGACCTTGGTTTCTATCGTCCCAAATACACATGGTCTAATGGAAGGGGGCAGTGTTCTATTGTTTGGAAAAGACTTGATAGAGGCCTTGCCAATGACCAATGTTTAGAAATGTTTCCTGCTACAACAGTATCTCATTTAGCTTTAACAGGATCAGATCACAATCCTCTACTCTTGGAACTTCATATTAGGCAGGACAATGGCAAAAAATACTTTAAATTTCTCAATTGTTGGGTAGACAACAAAGGTTTTTTACCACTGGTTTCAGAAGTATGGAACAGGCAAGTAAGGGCGCATGCTATGTGTGTGTTTCATCAGAAGCTAAAAATACTAAGCCATGCCATGAGTCAGTGGTCTAGACAAGAGTATGGTGATATTTTCAAAAGGCCAAAGAGTTTGAGCAAAAGGTTAAATATGCAGAAATAATCTGGGCCCAAACTAATGAAGACTCTGACAGATTAGCCCTCAATGAACTGAAAGCTCAATATGTCAGATATCTAAAGGTGGAACAGGATGTTTTGAAGCAAAAAACTAAGCTTAAATGGTTCAAGGAGGGTGATTCAAACTCCAGATATTTTCACAGTTTAATTAGAGGAAGGAGAAGAAAACTGTTTATTCACAAAATTAAGAATGAGAAATTTTATCAAGCATGTTGGGAAGTGATCAAAGAAGACCTGTTCAATGTTGTTCTGGCTTTCTTTAGAGGCTGCCTAATGCCCAGATTCATGACTAGTGCCTACTTTGTCCTTTTGCTAAAGGTTGAATTCCCAAATAGTCTCACAGAGTTCAGACCAATTAGCCTTAGTAATTTTATCAACAAGATCATCTCTAAGGTTATCTGTTCAAGGCTTGGTCCCATTCTCCCCAGGATAATCTCAGCAAACCAATCAGGTTTTGTCAAAGGCAGGAACATCTCTGAAAATATCATGCTTGCTCAGGAAATTGTTCATGGCATTAAGAAGCCAACTGAGGGTTCAAATGTGGTCATCAAGGTATACATGGCAAAGGCCTATGACAGAGTCTCCTGGAGCTTCACATGCCTAATGCTTAGAAGGATGGGATTTAATGAAATGATCATTGACATGATATGGAGAACAATGTCCAACAACTGGTACTCAGTAGTTGTGAATGGCACAAGATGTGGCTTCTTTCAATCTTCAAGGGGCCTCAAGCAGGTGACCCACTGCCCCCCTCACTTCATCATAGGTGTAGAACTCCTTTCCAGAATGCTTAACAGTTTGAATCATGACCAACTGTTTAATGGATTCTACATGGAAAAGAGGGGGCCACAGATCAATCACTTGAGTTTTGCAGATGATATAATCATCTTCACCTCTGGTAAAAGAACCTCTCTCAGAAAGATCATGTGGATCCTTAAAAACTATGAGGACACTTCAGGCCAGCTCATTAACAGACAGAAAAGTCACTTCATGACTGCATCCAATGCTCTGCCTACTACCATCAGAAGAATCCAAGAAGAGACAAGTTTCACCATAAAAGATTTACCTCTCACATACCTGGGGTGTCCCCTGTACACTGGTAGAATCAGAATTATGTACTTCAATGGGCTTATTTCTAAGGTTGTTGGAAGAATCAAAGGTTGGCATGGTAAGATGTTATCTTATGGTGGAAGGGCAACTTTGATCAAGCATGCACTGCAATCCCTTCCAATTCACTTGCTTTCAACTGTGACTCCTCCCAAGACTGTCATGAAGCAGATTGAAAGACTGGTTGCAAACTTCTTCCAGGGTATGGACAAGGACAAACACAAATATCATTGGTCATCATGGTCAAAACTATCTTACCCTCTCAATGAAGGTGGCATTAGCTTCAGAACCATCAATGATACCTGCAAGGCCATGGAACTCAAACAATGGTAGCATTTCACAACTGTGGAATCTCTTTGGAGTTCTTTTCTAAAAGCCAAATACTGTCAAAGATCTCACCCCATATCCAAGAAATTAGACACAGGCCAATCTCAAGCTTGGAAAAGGATAATGTTCAATAAAAAAGAAGCTAAGAAGGTCATTCACTGGAGACTTCATAGTGGTAGTTGCAACTTTTGGTGGGACAATTGGCTGGGCTCAGGGCCTTTGGCACATAGCAGAATAGAGAGAGGAAGGCCAGGTTGTATTCCAGTTTCTCATTACTGAATGAAGGAAACTGGGACCTTCAGAAACTTAATGAAGTAGCCGCAGCTCATAAGATCCCTAAGATTATGCAGATAGTTATTTACTTCAATCCTAATCTCCCTGACAGACCTATCTGGGTCCCCACAATGAATGGTAAATTTACATGTTCTACTGCATGGGACCTCATCAGAAACAAAAAGCCTCCCAACCTCACCAACAAGATGATTTGGCATAAAAAGATCCCCTTCCAATGGTCCTTCTGTCTTTGGAGAGCTTTGAGAAACAAGTTACCAGCTGATGACAGGGTACTCTTATTCAGCAGCCCTACAGTAACAAGGTGTGTGTCTTGTTCTCTATATGCACATGAAACAGTTGAACACCTCTTCAGCAATGGCAACTTTGCAAGAATTGTTTGGAACAAATATGGGGGTCAGGTAGGGGTGCATACTGAGAACATGCCTCTTAGGCTTCTTCTTATGAAATGGTTGATGTTAAAGAGTCACAACATTGTCCAAAATCTCATTCTGGACATAGTCCCCATTATCATTTGTTGGAATCTGTGGAAAAATAGATGCAGTGCCAAGTATGGGGGAAAATCTACCTCATTGACCAGGGTTCTATACTCAATCAATTCTGATATCAATTTGTTGTTAAGGTCCAAATTCCCTGATATCAAATGGCCTTTAACTAGAGGGATCTGTACCCTTTAATTGAAAACCATCAACAACACACTACCTCAACTCAAGTTTCCTGGAACAAACCTGACATTGGCTTTGCCAAGATCAACTCTGATGGTAGTTTGGAGCTGGAGTGATCATCAGAAACCACCATGGCCAGTTTATTCATGCCATGGGGATTCCACTAGGGGAGGGCACCAATAACTATGCAGAAACAGAAGCAGCTAGGTTAGGAGTTCAGTGGTGCTTGGCTAATGGAATCACCTAGATTCACCTTGAGGCAGACTCTACACTTCTAATCAACTGGTTGACTGAAAACAATGATCCTCCTTGGACATGGAAAATGAAGATTTCTCAGTTGAAGGATCTATGCAATCAGTGTATGGAATTCAAAGCATCCCATGTCTATAGAGAAGCAAATTGCACTGCTGACTCTTTGTCGAAACTCAATCATGATGTCACCATACCAACCAACTTCAACACTGCAGCAGCTCTTCCATCTCACATCAGGGGTCAGATCCTTCATGACCATCTGGGTACCCCTACTTTCAGATTCAAGAAAACCAGTAGAATCATGGTACCCCCACATATGCTAGTGCAGCTTCTACTTCCCATGGTTATGGCTAATGGCACTTTGAGGATGGGAGAACAAGTTGCAATCCATATGAAACACACAAGGCATCGGTCAAGGGCAATGAGTGCCTATGCTAACCTCAGCTTGCAGGTACCACCACAGTAGGAATGCAGAGTCCATTGGCCTTTCCTCAGAGTGTGGTATTAACAGCAGTGCTGTTTAATTTTCTAAGGACTGATCAATGGACTGAAGCAGACCTCACCACCCATACAACACTCAAATATGAACGCAAAAAACCCAATATTACCTCACATATCTTTAGGCAGGAAGACAGAAAAATCCAAAAAGAGATGCAATCCAAAAATGCATCATCACACACTTCCTGTCCCATCACTACGAATGCTACTAGAATACACAAGAACCTAGGAGAAGAAACAGAAGCAAACCTCTCTATTACACTACAAAAAAAACAGTCTCCAAATAGCAGAAACAGAAATCTAGGCAGAAATGCCCATTTTATCTCTAACTCTATTTTCTTCTTTTTTGTAGGTTTCAACCAATCCTTCATACTCATTCAACTGAGGTACTTCCAGAGTGTGGTATTAGTATTTAATATGATCATTCCTCTGGAAGCATATTAGTTGGATACAGCAGAGCTTTCAGTCTAAAAAAACTGCTCTTCCAACAGTTCAAGCAGGAAGCCTCTCACACCTACCTTCCTTTGGGCATTTCATTCCTTTACATACCATGCCTTTCTCACCCTCACACAAATGCCCAAAAAAACCCTCTCAGCTCAACATTTGCAGCAGCAGTCTCTACTGCAAAAGGCCCTACAACCAGCATATCATCTAGGCATGAATTCAGTTCACAAAGCTGCAACAGCTGCAGCCATTTGCCCATTGCCAACCACCAATGTTACACCCCCAACAAAACACCCAAAACCACTGTAATCCCAATGCAGCAACTCCACAAAACCGTCAACAGTTACAACCCAAACTATTGTAACAATCTCCATGATACTTCTAGAATACACAAGAACCTGGGACAAAAAATTTCTCCTCCATTAGCCTGCCACACTACAACCATCAGTTTTCCAAGCCAACAGCTTCCACCATCTAATTTCATACCCCTCCTGAAGACCTCTGTTCACATGCTCTCCATCAATGCTCCCAGTGTACACAAGAACTTGGGAGCAGAAGGTTTTCTACTAACCTGTTTGTTTCTTTTTGCAGGTATCAGGAACGGGTCCAAAATATTGAGGCAATTGCAAGGAATTAGCATTCCAAATGCTCAACCTCCTGCAATTGTGTTAATTTTTAGGGACCTGTCACAACTGGTTAAGAATAAGAATTTAGAATGTCAAAGTAACAAGTAAGGAGGGTAGATAGAGATCACTGAACTGAGCATACAACACAAATGGTCAAGCAAGCCAGTAGGTTCAGCAAGGTTCACATAGCAAAGTATCACATAAACAACTATCATAGGAATTAGGAGAAGAAACATGTTTGCAAACATACATAGGTTGCACTAGTGGACATCTAAGGGTCTAAATTATTTAAGTCTAACCTAATGCCACATTAATCAACACTTGAACACAACGGAGGGATGCACATATTGATAACCACAGAAAGGGGAGAACAACAGATGAACCAAGGCATACTGGAAAACATGTTAGCATAAGAGTCCTAGAAAATAGAGTGTTTCTCTTTTCGAAATCTAGGATAGTATGAAACAAGTTTAAAATAGACTTTAGGGTAGTATCAAAGAGCATTCCAATATACACAGAACTTAGTACCAAAAGGTTCATTCGAGTAAAAAGGGGTTTCCATAGAGTTAGGGTAGTATCTAAACACAATATATGCAGAAATTGGCACCTTAACACTATACAACCACAATAGTCAGGCTCATGTTGGAATGGACTGCTATTGAAGTCCAAAATTAAACATGTTATGCTACAGGGTACATAACCAATCTCAAGAGATAAGAGACCACAGAGTGCAGGTCATGGTGAAGCATAATACAAACAATAGACTGTTCTCATATGTACAACTAACACATAATGACATTAAAATTGAATATTATCATAATTGAATCATGCTCATACAAGTTCAAATACATATGCAGAAGAAGGAAAGAAATTAAGCATTGCAAGGGTTTAAACACTAACCAGTAGCAGAATCAAAAGAGTGTAATATCAAAAACCCCCAAATCCCAGATGCTTCAGAGTTCACAAGAGCCTCGAGAATGGGCTCCGAGCAGTGCTTGCACTGGAGGAGGTTGTTCAATAATTTAGAGAGTGTTACAGTGTAATAGTGAGTGAATGAGTGAGAGAAGAGAGTAGTGAAAACAGTAGCCGAGAATAAGAGATTCAAATCCTGTTAAGGGTGTTTCATGAGAGGGGTTTATATAGTAGCATATTTCATACATAAAATAGGAAACACGGTAAACATTAAACACAAAATAAGGAAACATATACCAGAATCAATTAGAATCGATTTTTAGGGCAATAATACATAAAACAAGGGAGTTCAGTAAATTAACAAGAATAAGGAAAAAATAATCATGCAAATAACCCTTAAAATAAGGGAATACAACAGAGAATAAGGAAAATATCATACGAAAATCAATTAGAGTCAGACTTAGGGCAAAATAAAGTTAAAAAAGGGAAACACGGTGGGTTAAACAACGATAAGAAAAATATCAGTCAAACACGAGAAAGGGAAGACTATCAATCGAAAATCAGTAAAGGAAAAGGGGAAATCTCAAACCCTAGTTGGGACTGACGACTTGAATCGGACCAAAAATGCAAGAATCGTTCAATATAACATGTATATGGACGAAAGATCATCCAAATCTTCACATAACCAAAGTAAATCGGCCCGTTCTTGAGAAGTAGTTCATGCCAAGAATAGGGCAAGAACTATGTAATACCGTAAACATGCGCGTAATAGTAAAGTATCACAAAATAGGTAAGTAGATCATGGATTGATTCCATGTTTGAGTCGGAATCGTAGAGGGTTAGGGGTTACGGCGGCTAGGGTTTGACAGAGAAGAAGAAAGGTGAGAGGGTAATGAAGGCGGCGGGTAGAGGGGGAATGTGGATTAGGGTTAGGGGTTAGGTAATTAAAAGGGGTAGGGTTATTGTGGGTCGTTGATCTTAGAGATCAACGGCCAGGCTTTTAATAGAACTGGGGCGGGTTAATTAAACGGGTATAGGCAGTGGGTTGCTGGTGTTGGGCTTGGGGTAATTGGGGTAAGGTTTGGGGTAATTGGGCTGAGGTATGGGTAGATTTAGGTCCGAAAATAGGTAGGAAATTAGGCTATTATTTAAATGCCCCAAAATTTATCAAAATAATTTATAAAAATGCTTAATAAATGAATAAAAATATTATTTATGCACTGAAATACTTAAAATAATAACTTTGTATAATAAAAATATAAATTTTCTAATAATACAGAATAAAGAGCCTTTTTGTATGAATATAGGCCATTATTGCAAAAATTAGATAAATAGCTTAAAAATGCTAATGTAACTTCATGGAATGAAATAAAATATTTGAAATGTATATTATAAGTGCAAAAATAATTATTTTAGGTAACTAAGTCAACACAAAATAATTTAAAGGGATAGTTACTAAATTTTATATAATTTAAATGCGAGAAAATTCTTTTAAAGCTCTAAAAAATATGAAAAATTAAGGAAAATGCTTGCATAAATTTTGTAAATTAGATAATGATGCAAATTGATGTTTTTCAAAGTATATATACTTGTGAGAAAATATGAGGGCAAAATTGGGTATCAACAACTGCCCCTCTTTACCCGGGAATGATGGAAGAGTTGTCGGGTAAAGAAAATGATGACCAATTGGCCGAATAGAATGAGGAATGATGTGATTTTAAAAAAATGGGGCCGAACCTTGGTTCCTGAGTTTCCCTCATATCCGCGATGTTATGGGAATCAGGCCGTGTGTAGTTCTGGATCCAACGGTGGACGAAACCGATGGAGTTGTTATAGGAATGGTCGTATGTTTTGGAAAATGTTCTTCTGGGAAGGATAGTATCGGATGGATTTATGCGAAGTCATGAATGTTAATTTGAGGCGTTATGGATGTATCACAGGGCAAATATCTGAACGGTCATGGAGTAAAAAGGTGCGCAATTATTGGTGGTTGGTTATGTTTGAAATAATTGTAGGATGTGAATGTTATGAACGGAAACTGGAGGCAAGATTGCTCCCGTTTGAAGAACAGTTACTTCCTGGATTACCTACAAAACTAAAAACATGATGCATGCGAATAAATATGGGTTATTGAGAGAATTTAAACATGATGCAACTTTCCTTTGGACCATGAAGGTTATCTTTGGACGGTGAGGATGATGTCCTTAGACCATGACGTCATGGGCCATGAATCATGAGATAAGGGATTCGCAGGCCATGAAATGATGTCCTCAGGCTATGAGAATGATGCCTCAGAACCATGACAACTTTGAATAATGATGTTCAATATTGAGAGATCCTTAGGCCATGAAATGGTGTCTTCCGGCTATGAGGATGATGCCTTCAGATTATGACGCCTTTGGACAAAATGGTTGTTTCAGCCCATGAAATGCAAAGATATGATACTTGGCCATATGCGAAATAAAACAAGACAAGGCTTAGTCTTGTGTAAGATGAGGGCAGTGCTTAGCCCCAG